CTCTTCATTTACCACCGCGAGGCTTGCTAGCGCTGCCCGGAACCCACAAAGGCACTCTCCAAACCCCAGCTGGGAGCGGCGGAGGGTGCCTCCAATTGCCCACTCTCGCCCCAGACTGAGAGCTAGCCGGGGCTGAGACAAAGGGAACCGGGGCAGGAGCGCGGCACACCTCTTTTTCAGAACTGTCTGGATGGTTTAAGTGCCATTGTACAAGGCTGTCTGCAGTGCAGTCACAGCTGTGCTAGCATGGGACAGGACTTTCTTCATGTACAGCTCTAGTAGCTGTGCAATAAACTCTGGACTGTGGTCTTTATGAATGTTGCATTTTGAATTACCATATTTTTAAACCTATTTTCACGTTTTCCCCACATTAATATGTCATTTCCATAATTCATTTCTAGCTAACAGTCATCCCAGTCTTTGGTGGCTTCCGGGGTTTCAGCCAAGTCCTCTGTGGAAGGACCCTGCCCAGCCTGACCCTCACCAGGCTGACACACACTGCTCCTGGCTGCCACCAGACGTGAATCCACTGATTTGTAGCACTTGTGTGTTGGTGTTTCCCTCTGCACTTCCAGAAGCACAAGTGGTGAAGAGACAGACAGCTCAGCAGGAGCCCAGCGTGGTCACTGCCGACACGGGCACCATCTGCCAGAGCCCAGCACTGCAGCGAGCTCTGCTTCTGGGGAGTTCATCTCCACAAAGAAGCCCTCCTGACTGTACATAAGTGCTGTTTACAGTAATCTCCAAATGGTGAAAAACATCAATTTGGTGAAAGACACTTAGAACCTGTGACACCATAATGGTTGGACTAAATTATCCCAGAGATCTTTCCCAGCCTAAACAATCCTCTTGTGAGAAGTCCTGCCTTTGGCTGTCATCATTCCAAGCATAGCAGCAGTATGGTAGCTACAAGGCCTGACAGGAAGACCCAAGTTACATGACTCACAAAATATAACCCTCCCCCAAGTCTTTGGCCAATTTTAGTTTTTCTGTTAACAACATAAAAGCAGTCAAGTTTCTCACAAAGCTGTAAATAGTGAGTACACTCTGGTTAAGCACAGCCAGTACTTTAAAATTCTTCCAAATTATTCTTTTTCTTAGATGTGATCCAACATCAATTTTAGACAAAGTTCTGAACAGAAGCAAAAGACCAGGAATTGTTACAAGCTGCACAAAATCCTACCAAATTGTGGCTGAAGTGTGCAACTAAATTCCAGAAAAAACAACTACCAGGTGAAATGTAGGAAGAGGCTAAAATGCAAGAAATAATGAATTCACAACTATTTACTATATGGCTACAGCTTACAAGCAGTCCATTTCATATGTGAGTCTAGGCACTGATGTTAAAATGACCTACAACAGCTATCAATTTTAACAAGGATATTTTTATACATATATAAATATTTTGCTTCAGAAATGTTTCAATTTCCACTTAACTCTTATAGCAAAAAAAAAACAAAAACAACAACCTTGGAGGTCCCTGCTCTTACAATCTTTAACATACAGAGCACACCCTCATTTTCTTAAATCCAGCAGTCTCAAAGGTGCTGCTGCAGTAGTGTCTACACAAACAGTTGTATAACACAGCACACAACCAAATGAGGCACCTAAGAGTGAAAATAAAATTAAAGAATCATGATTTTCAGAACCACTGGTGACTTCTGAATCTGCAAATTATACATGCTACTGGTAACTTTGAAACATTAAATAATAGCAACCCAATTCAGACTTCACTTTCTAGATACATTACTAGAGTTAGTTCACAAATAACATGAATAGAAGCTGAGCTATCAAGCAGGTGTGAAATCCTCTATTCTGATCCAACCATTTGTGTTAAGGAGATCCCAGACTTCCATGCAGTTATTTCCAGTTTAAGTCATTCAGAGCAGATGTCTGTATTCCCTGCATGGCTAATACAATCTACACATCAAAACAGCACTCACACCACTGATCACCTGGTCTGTGCAGCTATCACAAAAGGTAATATTCCCTGTGAGGCAGGAGCTGTATTACCTGGGCCTCTCTGCACTCTGACATACACTTGTCAAAGAGGCAAAGCACTGAAGCACCCCACATCAGCCTAGCGTGGCTCTGGGTTCTGGGGGAGCAGCAGCTGCCCCCGCAGCCTGGCCCAGCTCTGGGCTGTGACACAGGACTGGATGCTGGGCTCCAAGGGTTCAGGAGGCCACAGATGCTCATTGGGCAGAGGGAATGGACAACTGTGCTGCAGGGTGAGATCCCTTCAGGCAAGAGGGGCATAGCCTTTGTCCAAAGCCCTGGAAAGGCATAGGTTCTTGTGTGAGATATCTGCATGCTTGTACCAAGCAGTCTGCTGTCCAAGAGAAGCACACCTCTTATTAATCAAAGGATAATGATGCTAGCACAATAGTCATCCCATAAAGCTAACTCACCCTGCTCAAAAGTAAGATGATCGCCCCACTAATTTCAATGTTACTGAAAACAGAGCAATTGCCTCAAAACACACCGTTAAGGTGCTGGCGAACACTCCTGCGACCCAGGACAGCCTTGGAGCAGCCAAGCCATCCTGCGCAGAGCCCAGTATCAGTGCAGCAAACCAACGGCACCAGCCTGCGGTGTTGTAAAGGAATGTAGAACTAAATTATTGCAATAGAAACTTGGCAATATCTGGAACAGTAAACCCCAAACTCGCCAGTTACAACCCCGTGTAGAAAAAAAACGTAGCAGATGATGGTCTGTGAGACAGGGCCGTGAGGTCCGGGAGGATGAAGGGCACGGGCGAGGCAGGCAGGGGCTGAACCCCTGTCCGAGGGGCGCGAAAGCAGGGGTGAGATTACACAAACAGCACAAATGCGGCGACTGCCCGGGGCCGCAACGGCACAGCGGAGCGGGCACGGCAAGCATGGGCCGCCGGACCCGCCGTGCACGGAGCGGGCACCGCTCTGCCCCGCAGCCCCGGCCCCTCCGGGCTCCCCCGGGTCCGCCCGCCGGGCAGGCAGCGCAGCGCCGCGCCCCGGGCCCGGCTGGAAGGCGCCGCCGCCGCTACTCACCGATCCCGGCCGCTCCCGGCCTCCAGCGGGGCACCGGGGCGGCCGCACGGTCGTCGGGCCCCGCCGCGCCGCGGCCCCGCGCGATCCGAGCGGGCAGGGCAGGGTCCGGCACCGCCCGCCCCGCACCGCCGCCGGGCCGCGCCGGGCCGGGCCGGCACCCACAGCGCTCCCGGGACTGGCCGCGCCCACACCCACCGGCCGAGCGGCCCCGGGCAGCGGGCACCGGGCACCGAGCACCGCCCCCGACGCCGGCCGCAGCCCCGGCCCGGCCCCGGCCCCGCTCCCCCCCGGCCGCGGGGGCGGTGCCGGCCGCGCCCCTCCTCCCCCCGCCCCCGGCGCGGCAGCGCAGGGCTGGGCTGGGCCGCGCCGCCGCCGCCGCAGCGCTCGGTCCGCTCCGCCGCCGCACCGCCGGGACCGCCGCCCGCCCCGCGCCCCCGGCCCGCCCGCTGCCCGCTCGCCCTCGCCCGCCGCCCCGCGACCATGGCCGGCTGGCAGAGCTACGTGGACAACCTGATGTGCGATGGTTGCTGCCAGGAGGCCGCCATTGTGGGCTACTGCGACGCCAAGTACGTCTGGGCAGCCACGGCCGGCGGCATCTTCCAGAGCATCACGGTGAGCGGAGCCGGCGGGAGCGCGGCCGGCGGGAGCGGGGCTGGGAGCGGGGCTGGGAGCGGCGCCCACGGGCCGCGGCCGGGGGACGGGGGCACCTTGCGGGCGAGGGGCGCGGGCCCGGCCGCCCGCGCCGCCTTTTTGTGCGCGTCGGGAGCGGCGCGGGGCCGGTGCCGCGGGCGGGGGCGGCGGCCGGCCCGGAGCGGGGGGTGCGGGCGGCGGGCCCGGCGCGGCGCGGGCGGCGGAGCAGGGCGGCTCGGACGGCGCCGCGCCGCCGGCTCCATGTTTTCTCCGCCAAGATGGCGCTCTGCCATTGATGCTCCCCCGCCCTGCCCGCCCGCGCCCCCGGCCCGCCCGGCCCCGCCGCCCCGCGAGCAGCGCCGAGCGCGGCCGCCGCCGCGGCTCCCCCGGCCGCGCGCGGGCCTGCCCCGGGCGCGGCGGGCCCGGTCCCGGCCGAGGCGGAGCGGGGCCGCCTGGGCCGCGGTCGGGGGGCCGGGCCCGCCGTGACGCTGCACTTTGCGGCCGCCGCGGTGCGGCCGGGCCCGCGCCGCGCCCCCGGCTCCGGGCCCGGGGCCCTTCCCGAGGGGGAGGCGGAGGGGCCGCGGCGGCGGGAGCAGTCCGGGCCGCAGCCGGGCTGGTGCCGCCGCCGGGCTGGTGCCGCCGCTGCGGACAGGCCCCGGGCTGATCTCCCGGGACAGGTGCGGACAGAGCCCGCGCCAGCCCGGGGCCAGGCTCCAGCAGACGCCCTGCGCCGCTTAACGGGCTCGGGCCCGGAATCGCCGCGGCAGAGGCTCCCCCGCGCGCAGCGGCCGCGGAGAAGCGCAGACTGCGCCTAACAAAGCCCTGTGTTCTGGAGCACTTCCTGCGGGCAGCGAGGGGAAATCACGGCCTCTGCCTCTCCGCATGAGACAGGAGCGGTTCTAAATAGAAATTACGGCAATATACCCTTCCGTGCTAACTCTGAACTCTTTCCTTTGACAGCCAGGAGAAATAGATATGATTGTAGGAAAAGACCGAGAGGGTTTCTTCACCAATGGTCTGACCCTTGGTGCAAAGAAGTGCTCTGTGATCAGAGATAGCCTGTATGTCGATGGTGACTGCACAATGGACATCAGGACAAAGAGTCAAGGTGGTGAGCCGACATACAATGTTGCTGTAGGCAGAGCTGGACGAGGTAAGCATCCTTTTCTCTACCTTCAGGTAGCTAAATTAGGAATATGACCCTAAGCATAGACTCCAGCTATTAGAAAAACCAAACTACTGTATTTGATGGCTAATTTTGGGAAGTGGTGCAAGGAAGTGGATGGCAGTGCTCTGGCTGAGTTCTGACTGAGAATTATACACATCCCCCTTCCCACCTGCATCCCAGCCCAGCACCAGGCTGTGCAGTAGTGAACAGGTCTGTGACAAGCAGGAAAAAGCAGGCTGCAGCTCCAAGCAGGCTTAGCTGGTATTCCATCACTTCATACCTGAAGCTCAGGAGGGGTCTGTTAATGACAGCCATTGACTGCAAGCTTTCTCATTGTAAGTTGCTTGATGGGAAGTTTATTCTGCAAAGATGTGAATCTCATGTAGGAGCTGCTCCTACTTAAAAAGTTCTACACAGACTCTTCTTGCACTTCCTATTGAGCCTGCTGAAGTCTGTCCAGGCAGAAAAAGCCTGTCCAGTTTGGTACCACTGAGAAATGTTCTTCATTCTCAGATACCTGCTCCTTGCACTCTCCATTTAACTTCCAGTAAAACCTATTATGGGGCAGCCACCCATCTGGGATATGAAATACTGTCTGGGAGTGGTGTGCCTTATGTTGGGAACACCTGGGCTAGTGTTTTTGGGCTGGCTGTGGAACAGGTTCCCGAGTGACAGGACCTTGGCTAATAGGTGTAAAACCAAAGGCAGAGCAGATGTCTGTAGGCTAAAGCCTAGGGCAGGCATGCAAGGAAGAGGGTTGGCAGCACTGCAGAGAAACTAGCATTGTTCTGACTTGTGAAATGACAATGAGAACTGTCTTAAGCTTTTATCAGCAAATTTCTATGGAGATAGAATTGTAGAGTCACTAAGGTTGGAAAAGCCCTCCAAGATCAGAGAGTCCAACCCTTCTCCCGCTGCGCCCAAGGCCACCACTGACCCACGTCCTCAAGTGCCACAACCGCAGGGCTTTTAAATCCCTCCAGGACTGGGGACTCAACCACTGCCCAGGGCAGTTGTGCCAGGGCTGGACAACCCCTGATACCCAACCTAAACCTTCCATGGTGCAACCTCAGGCCCTAGGGTATGATCATGTGTAGGTAGACTGACTGCAGCATTCCCAGCTTGGTGAACAGTCCCTGGCCTGTGGCAGCCCAGTGCTCATTGTGTCCCACTCTGTAGGGAAAGCTGGGGGGATATCTGATGGCAGCTCACAGTGGCAGTTGCTGGTGAGCCTCCAGTGTTCCTTTCACCAGATAACCTGGGGCACCTTGCTGGGGGAGTGGGGAGAGCCTCAGCATGACAATTGTCCCTGTGTTTTGTCTTATGTAAAAAGTGTGGTTTATAGTTGTGTTACTGCGTGGAAAGTCTCAGCCCAACTCACTCTTTGGGGTTTTTTACCAGCATCAGGGCAGTTACTCTGGTTCCAAATAATAGGAATTTTCTTTTGCCACTCTCCAGTCATGCTTGCACACACAGTGCACCCCTACTCCCACAGGTGTTTCAACTGCCACTGGGATTTCCTTGCTGGGTGATGACTGATGGTGAGAGGCACTGTAAAGCTGGTGCCATTTTTCTTAGCAGTGAACACTTAAAACTTCCACAGCTAGATAAAATCCCTGAGGATAGCTTGTACCTTCTCCCAGCCCTATCTACATCTGTGTTTTAACAAAACTGTTAAATTAGCTTAATACCTAAATACTAAATCTTGAATTTGAGGGTGTTTATTGCCCTGCCTAAAACTTGTATTATTTCCATGTCTAATACACTCTTTTAAAAACTTTTTTTCTTTTCTCTTTCAGTCTTGGTCTTTGTAATGGGCAAAGAAGGGGTCCATGGAGGCGGATTGAATAAGAAGGCATACTCAATGGCAAAATACTTGAGAGACTCTGGGTTCTAGTTGTTAGGCAGACTGTTAAGTATTAGGGGAAGATTGCTATTAAACTTTCCTGGCGGTGAGCTTTAAACCTTACATTCTGGAAACTTTACTAGCAATGCAGGGTGATGGGGTATGAACCTGTGTCTCCTTTGTATCCCTTTGTTGGTGGGGAAAGGTGTTGTTTTTGGTTTTTTTTCCTTTAATTCTTTTCATTTCTGTTTTGTTTCCTTGTGTACTCCAGCATTGGTTATAGTCATGGGAAAGGAAGGTGTCCATGGAGGGACACTCAACAGGAAAGCATATGAACTGGCTTTATACCTGAGGAGGTCTGATGTCTGAGCAGCCTCTCCCCATCCACCTAGCAGCTGTCTGCACCACCACCCGCTTGTGCTCAGTGCTACCAGACTGTAGATGGTAGTTTGTGGTTTTTTATTTACCCATTTCCTACTGTCATAACTCCAGTTCCCCTTTGTTCATCTCTGTAACCACTGTAGGTAACCGAGCCCGTCTGGCACCAGCATGACGATGATATGCATGATAACTTGAAACCTGGGAGGGGAACATGCCAAGTGTAGGCTCTGCTTTGTCTTAGCAATTAGTATGATATTGACAGCTAAACCAACTGAGATACTAAACAAGGTGCCGATTGTACAATCTAATTTGATCAATGCCTCTTCAGCACTTTGAGCAAGTCACAGCTCACTAGTCTTCCTTTCACAGAGCACGGTTGGGAGGAAAAAAGTGTGTGCATATCTTCATTTCTGTCCCTGTCTTTGTTTATATTTTTTAAACCCATGTGTTTGCTTACACCCATTTTTATAGTGCCTGGTTTGTTTAACCAATTTGCCACTCAAAAGCTATTAATGTCACATTAGTTTTGTCATTGCACTTCACTGTAGGCTTAACTCTCTTACTTTTTCTTGATGTTGTGAAGGTTGTACTGCTTAACAAGTGCAATCACAAAACTATGAAAGGGTACACATGTACTTCCTCCCATGACCTTAAACCACCATCCTAAGGACTTCCCAGACATTCCATCATTACAATAGCTCGGGCACTTTTTTTTTTGCCAGCTCCTATTCTGTAGTTGACTTGTGCAAGGCTGCCACTGTGGCCATTAGCTAGCCTGGTATAACCAGCTGGAGTGTGTCTGGTTTCAGTTTCTCATAGGACCAATTTAATTTGCAGCTTGGGGGTCGGGGGGTGGGCATGGTGTATTTGTTTTTTAATATGAAACTGCAATGTCATTGTGGAAAACTGCCACCTTCAGCTACCCTGGAGCTCTGACTGGCTTCAGTCTTTCTGCCAGATCACTCAATGGTGCAGAGTTTGGCTGCTCTGAAGCCACTGTCTGGATGAAGGTTGGTAGTTTGTAAGCTAAACTGTCAAAATACCATTTCAAATTTAAAAATATTCATCTGGCCTGTCACAC